GAGTGCTCTCCTAGCTCGTGTAAGGGCCTGGGTTCGATCCTCAGCACCACATATAAGTAAAATAAACAAAATAAAGGTATTATATCCAACTACAATAAAAAATTTTTTAAAAAACCAGATACATGAAATCCAAATAGAAAATGCTCTATACATCAGAACTCATGAAATAAAGACATTTTTCTCTCAACTCCAGAGGCTCAATATAGAAGGTGTATTTTCCCATGTTTGAGTGTAAATTAAAACAATAATTATTTTTCAATTTAATTTCTGCATAAGAATTGTGGATCTTTTTTTGGGGGGGGCGGAGATTGCACAGTTTATTTCCAAACACAGTCAGAGGACAGGGTGTCAGGTAGCCAGTAGTCTTCGTCTACATCCCCTCCCTGCATTTGGTTTAATCAACAACTTCTCTCCCCTTGTCCTCAAGTTCCTAGGCTGTGCAAGATAGAGAAGGTACTGCCACTGCCTCCGGGAAGGGCCTAGGCAGACCAGGAGCATGGAGTGTGGGGTGGGGGTGGAGTTCAAGTATTCACAGTTCTCCCATTCAGATTACATTGTGCCCAGGCAATTCAAGCTTCAGGATGGCTCCTGATGATAAAGACCCTCTCCCACTCAGACACAGCCTCTGAGCTCTCTACTCCTTTTTCTTAAAATAAACCAAGCCCTAGGCCCTGCAACTGGCAAGCAGGGGCCTCAGCATACTTGCTCACCCAAGGACCCAGAGGAGTCTTTACCTGTAGTGACTGGATTGGAAGCAAGTGGTTTTCAGGTGAGGGGAAGGGGAAGAACTGAGAGGATCTGGGGGTGGGTGGGTGGCAGGCTTGGAGGGTCCTGATGGATATGTTCAGAACATTCTAATCTGTACTGCCACCTCCAATCCTACCTCTTCCTCACACCACAGGACCAGAATCCTTGAGAGTCCAACCACAAGGCCAACATGGTGTGGGGGAGTGGAGGAGTGGGAGCAGGAGAGCTGAGCAGGACCTTGACCCCCTACACCAACCAGTCCTGCTCCTGGGAGCCATGTTTAGGGAGGGCCAGGACTGTGCTCAAGTCCCACTTCTCAGGCTCTGATCTTCCAGAATAGCTGAGTCCTGGGGGCACAGGGTTGATCCACTGACCAGCATACCCTAGATATCCTGACCTTGGACAGAGTGGTGGGAAAGGGGATGGGTCCTCCCAAGGGTATATAAAAAGGTAAAACCATTAGAACTTCCTTGGAAGAAGTGGTTCCCAGCCTCTTGCCTCCCTAAGGTATCAATATCCCCAGCCCCCTATAGATAGGACTAAGGAGCTGGGGATGTGGCTCAAGCAATAATGCACTCACCTGGCATATGCTGGGCGCTGGGTTCGATCCTCAGCACCACATAAAAAATATAAATAAATTTGTTGTGTCCACCGAAAACTAAAAAATAAATATTAAAAAATTTTCTCTCTTTCCATATATATATATCTTTAAAAAAAAGGACTAAAAGGACTAAGGGGGTCCCTGAGATCTGAGGAAAGAGGCTACAGCCCCTCTCTTACAGGATAGTGCCCAGAGATGGGGCCCATTAGCACCATGCAATGTTGGGGTACCTGTGTAGCCTGAATAACCCCTGGACGGGGGTCCTCTGCTGGAATGCCCATTTACTAAAGCTTCTGTACTCTTGGGGGAAACCCCTGCAGGGGAGAGGGGAGGGAGTTTTGGCTAAAATCCAGTCAGGGGTCCCCACTTGGACCCCAAAGGGGCCCTCAGAAGTCATGACTTGAAGAATCTTCATACCACAAACTGGCCCAGCAGAACCACAGCCAGAACCATCAGCACATTTCGGATTGGGCAGTGACCCAAGTCCAGGGCTGCCACCCAGCCTTCTCTCTGCACTATCCACCGGGCAATGCAGCGATGCAACATGAAGTCGGCCACGAAGTGGGTCACCTGGCCCAGAAAGCCTGTCAGGCCACGCTGGTAGACGTGTAAGGCCAGGCGATAGCCAAAGCCCAGGAGAGCCATCACACAGCCCCAGTTGATGCCACTCTCAAACCGGCTGGAGGCGATCTTGGTGAAGAGTTCATAGGCATTCGCAGCTGTAGGTTGTAGTTGTTCAAGTGTGCTCTGGAACTCGGAGTCATGGCGCCGGTTGATGTCGTCACCAATCACAGTGAGCTGCTGACCCACCTGCCCCATGGTACTGGTAGGTTCTAGGGCCACCCCTCAGCCTCCTCTCCTGTCGGTGACGGTAATAAAAGTAGCTATGGAAAACCTCCTCTGTGTCCCGGGCTATCTGCTGCTCAGAATTGGAGGTCGGCTCTACGCATTCCTCACTAGGAGGACCTGGGCCTTGCCTGGATGCCATTTTTCAGGTCTCAGTAGAGGACAGTGTCAGCCTGTCCAGTCTCTGATCCAGAGCCGAATGTTCAGCAGGGCCAAGGCCGAAGGTCCCCAAGGGCTGGTGGCTGCTCCCAGCAGCAGGGTTTCCGGCTCAGCTTCCAGGAACCAGCGTCAGTGCATTCCTGGTGTCAGGATGCAGTCCTTACTTGAGAGTTGTGGATCTTATGACACAGTTTAATGATAAACATTAGAAAACACTTTAGGAAATAGCCATCAATGTGCCTAATATGAATTCTTTATCAAATAACTTATTTAGTTAATAAGTTTCCTCAGCATGTCAATACATACATAAATGTGATGACCGCTTAACATTGTTGAGATTTAAAAAATCCTCCACCAAAAATTTTTGAAAGAATGTGTGCTAAATTGTTTAAAAACAACACTTATCCTTAAGGAATGGGTTTAGAGAAAGAGGGCACATTCATTTGGTTCTTTATGGTTATTCTATAATATTCACATTTGTTAAAATGAATATGCATTAATTCTGTAACTTAAAAAACTTGGAGAATATAACTACAGAGAAACTGAAACAGAGAAAGAGACCAGGGCAGGGGAAATTGGGCACAGGGTCTGCGGAGGAAGGAAGAAAGTAAGTGCCCATCAATTATAAGTGGGTACTGAATAACTGAGGTAAAGGATAGGCTAATTTCAAGAGTGGGAGGACAGCTGGAGCTTCTTGAAGAGCTTCCTGAAAGAGTCCTGAAGGAAGTCACTGTGTGATGGTGTGTCTCAGGCCAGACCTGTGATTCCTACAGGCTTGAGAGACTTAGTCCATCCCCCACAACCTCAATTCCACAGATTACGGGTGGGACTTCTGGTCTGTGGTTGAATAAATGAACTATTGTTATTCGTATTTATTAACTTGACTATTTCTTGGTTAGAGACCAAGGATGGGGTGAAGGTAGGAGAAGAAAAGAGGTTATTTTTAGGTCTTTCTCCTTACCACAATTATATAGTGAGTTTCTGTTTTTTGCAATGTGACTTTAGAACCATTTGGCCTGGGTAAAGGAAAACATGATTTAATATAAACCGTTAAAGGTACAAACTGGTACATTAAATTGAGTTGGGTATTCTAGGCCATTCACTCTGATAGAAGACAAAAGCATTTTCTTTATTGATCTTTGGTCCAAATGAATCAAATCAGCATGCTCTTTTACCTTGGGGAACTATTTGTTTTTTTTTTTAATCAGATACCTTATCTGGAAAACGTTGCTAAGTGGGACCCATAGTTTCTATGTCTGCCTGCCTTTCTGCAGTATCTATGAGGTTCTGCAGAGTTTTGTGGAATATCTGTGGATTTGTGTTATCTCAAGCGCACAGCATAGGAAGGAATGAAGTTTGCCCTTTCTGTGGCAGCATAGTTTCAGATAACAGAAGGTTAAGAGAGCTGGCTTGGATATATGTTCCCTCTTGTTACTAATATGGAGACCTTAATTGGGTCCACTGAGGCTACATAAAGTACCATGGACATGGAAGATAAGTTACATCTTGTGAGAAGAATATTCATTTATAGTTTCAATGGGGCTCTCTTGTAAGGAATTAAGGCCTGGTCAGGAATGAGCTGTGAATCAAACTATTGCCTAACTTGTTTTTTTTTAGTGGTGGTAGTGCTGGGGATTGAATCCAGGCCTCATGCATGCTAAGCAACTGCTCTACCACTGAGCCATATCACCAACCCAGGAGACGGTTCTTATCAAAACCTTCTCCGTATCTCTTTAACTGAAGGTTCCATTTGAACTACAGACCACATGTTCCACACCTACTATAGCTACCCAATTATTAATTGAATGACAAATTCTGACCTAAGAATGGTTATTTTAAGATTTTGATACTGACCACTAGGTGGCTCTCCTTTCTCAACTCCCACTGGCTTCTCTGTGAGGCTGAACGCTCCTTCAGACCTTAAGAATTTTTATATGTGAAAGATACACAGAATCACACTAGAAGTTTTGAACAGTCAGGGATAGAACCTAGCTTACAAATTTAACAATACCCAAACTACAAAGAATTCCTTCCTATTTCTTGAGGCACTGGCTACGAGGTAGCTCTTCAGGCCACAGTGTGACTATATGTTCCTTAAACTAAGGCAGTAACAAATACCACATTTAAAAAATTCAAACCATTGCTCTGGTAGTGAGTGGAATGTATGCGATTGTCTTGAAAAATTTTCAATTTCTAACATGTTAGACAGATAAAATCTTGGGGTATTCAGTGTAAAGGAGTTCCTGAGACCAAAGTTTGAGATTCTCTGGACAAATCTAGGGACATAATTTCAATTTTCCTTTTTCAATATTGTAACTGCCTCTTATGCAATTATAATATTGAAAAATATGGGAATGTCTGGGACAGCATTTTTTTTGGTAGCTATTATAAATGACAGGAAAAACGGTGAAAGTGGCCTGTTTGGATTTCAGACTAAAGCACAAAACTAACCTGCTTACTAGTAAAGTGTTATAGGAACTCAGAAGTTCTAGAACCGGCTATAGTTCAGATAAAATGTGCAATGATTTTCAAGTCACAGCAGGTGGGAACTCCCTCAAAATCATACCCCTTCGTGAGCCTCCACAGATGGTATGCTCCAACCCCAATCACCATTTAATTCCTTAAATAAAGAGACACTGGCACAAAATTGTCATTCACTTTTCTGCATACTTTATTTGTTACAAACATACAATTTTTAAATATAGACTGTAAAACTCCATTTGCAAAAGTCTGCTATTGTAAGGAGTGCACACCAGCAGGAAGGATTCTTAAACTTTTTTCTCTATGAGTTTTTTTCTGTCAGTTTTGCTAGTTAGTGGTAAATACGGGACCCGCCATTTTACAGACCTGTCTGAAGCTTCTGGCTGTATTCACATTGCTCTTTTGAAGCAGCCCTGCTCGTCTCAAAAATTGATCAGAATCTGAGCTTCAACCTACAGGCAGTGAGATCAACAGCCCGTCTGGACTCTGCTTTTGAACGGTTTTCAGGAAGTGTGATTTCTGAATGGGTACTGCACTTCACGGATTTGTTTGAATTGCCCATGCAGCTCTGTTTGTTAAAGTGCATTCTTCTTTTAAAAAATAAGCAAGAGGAATAATCTTTACTCTTTAACCAAGGTACTTAAAAAAATGAACTTTTTGGTCTCTCAGCAGATATTCCCAAATTGATCCTATCACTACAAATTTTAGTGTTCTATTTACAAACATTTAGGGTTACAGGTGGAGGGGACCTTATAAAATTAAAGGTGCAGCTTCACTTGAAGCAGAAATCAGCTCTACAAATTTATACATAGGCATACACACTTGGTTTACAATGCATAATAAGCATGTTGGTATTTACAGAGACTGAAGACATCCTCCCCCTCCCCCCCCAAAAAAAACCCTTTTAAAGTAATTTCCAACCTAAACTCTTAATTGTACATCTAGATCAGGAAGCTGTCTCCTGCTATCAAGATTTGGTTTTAAATCATTCAAATTATTTCTGTAGATTCTCTACTGGCAGGACACCAGTCCCAGCTTTGGAGTGAAGAGCCTAGTCTAAGGAAGTCACTGGTAGACATGATTGGCAGTGAAGATTTCTATTAAACAGAAAGTGTGTTATCTGGAGCTATATCAGAAGACATGAGATTTTATAAAGTGATTTTGGAAACATTTGCATGAAGGTTCAAAAGGAAGAATAAATGCCAACTAATAAAATTATTCTAGACTTCAGAAAAAAAAAGTTCAAATACACTGTTGATAAGTTACTATTCACATAAGTCATTGAAAAATAATTCAAATAAACTTGCCTGCTACCAAAATGTGCAAAACCATGGACTCTCTATAATGTATATTGATACTGATTTAAAGTCACTTTCTAGATTTTTGCTGTTATATATTGGCTTTTAGAAATTCTGAGAACTTTTGTACACAGGGGAGACGTGGGCTGGGAGAAAAGGGCTTATGCCTAATATCAGTTTAAAATGAAACTCCCAAATTCCTACAACACAACACATTTAGCGACATAATTATGTTCTTTAATTTTCTTGAGGCTCTTCCTACATTTTTGCTTGTTAAAAAAATTTTAAAGGGGGAAGAAACAAACCACTTGCTATTTTATTTCCAAATATTAAGATTTTACTAACCAGCCTGATCTTGCAACACAGTGTACAAAACATTTTGCCTTTAAGAAATATGATATGGTCTAACTAATTTTTCTTGAAAGACTCAGCCATTAAAGTTATTGAAGGTAGGAAAAAAAAAGTTAAACTCATGCCTTCTGTATTATGCTAGTGGACACCAAACAGGTCTATTACTTTCTCTCTAGTACACTGGACCCACATTTCATTGCACACAAAAAAAGGTATGATCAGCCACCTTTTATCCAAGTTACTAGGTATTAGATACAACACAGGGAAATAAAACTTGCGTATTCAAAATTTCTGTTAATTAAAATAATTCATGAAACTTTGTTAGAATTACTTATGGGAAAAAAATGATAGTTTTTAGCTTCTAATAAGCTCTGCTCTCACTTTATTAGAAGTCCTACTGAAAAGTGAAACCATCAATATGGAATTTGCTGTTGATTCAATATAGGTCTACCTATCCCAAATGGAATGTCTAATTAAAGAGGCATGAGTTAGATTTTCAAAAGATTGTGAATAGAGGTGATTACATTGATGGCATATTCCCTACATCCAAAAATATAAAATACATTCAAAAAGGCCTTATTAGATCAGGGGTACAGATATCAAATGGGAATCATTAGGGTATAGGTCTTTGGGATGCAATTTTTCTGTTTCCAAATTTTCAGTACTGACAAATGGATCATATTTGTTAAAGTTGTGTCAAATCCATTAGTAATAAAAACTAGGTTTTGAAACTGAGGACTGGGAAAGGTGACTTTAAATAGCAAAATCAGATGTATCAACAGAACTCACCATTCAACAGTCTAGCTATTTCTTGAAACTTCCGGGGCTAACATTTGAAAATTAATGTCTGTTTTTCTAAGTTAAAAATGGGAAATGAAGTTATAATTCACATTTCCACCTTACTATCTGGAATTTCAAGTGGGACATATGACATGAACTTTTTCTCTTTTGAGTCTATATCTTAAGGTAAACATGGTTCTTTTTTTCTTTTTTCTTTTCTACAAACTATCTCCCCCCCCTCCCCAGCCCCACCCCTATACTCATTATTCAGTATATTGAATGGGAGTTTTAACTCTTTAGGAAGACAGCTAATTGATTTACAGTACTCTAAAACTAACCCTGAAAACTGATAATCTCATTCATTTACCATAACTTCAGTGCTGTTGTTGACAGAAAAGAAAGAGTTACCTTAAGGCTCAAGGGAAAGTAACTTATTAATTTGTGAATGCAGCATTATTTACTCTCCCATCCATTGGAAACTAGCAAAATGCATTCTGGATCAATAATACAAACTTTCTAACACTAGCAAAGATTTCTACTCTTCTTACATAGAGTCAGAACAATATTCATAAGCAGATTATCTAGGGGAGCCTGAGAAACCATGATCCACATCACACAAGGATTCCATGTATTTCATGATCAAAAAGTGCTTTATCTTTGAGAACTGTGTCAGGGTTAAAATGGAAATATACAATGCAAAATCACTTGACACTTTTTCAAGTGATTATACAAAGTGGAAAAGGAGCAAAAAGATGAAGGCTCTGCTCTCTGAACAGGCCTTATGCATGTAATTTTTAGGGTACACTAAATTAAAACTGTTTTGAGAATTAATAATAGTGGATTTTTTTCACCACTAAATTCTAAAACCTGAGATTGGACATCAAAGCAGTCAACTTTGTCATTCATCAGAGCAATTCTGATACTTCCTAAAAATAGAAGAAAACTCAATTGAATTAACTCCAGGGTCAAAAACATTAACGTTCCTCAATCAAAAAGGAGACTGATCAAACACATTATACTAAGAGTGCTACAGAATAACAACTCTTAGCAAACAAGTCATTTCTACATAAGCAAAAAAGTCACTTCTCTCCTTCCCCTTCTTACTGATCAAGGCCACACTATTTTCAAATGAATATCTACTGAGAGATCAGTTGTGCATTGGACAAAGTACCATAATTGGGTTAAAAATGAAAACAAAATTTACAGTGAAGAATACTTATGTGCATGGCTTACACACTCCAGCTTCTTAATTTCAACAAGGTAGATGCAAACAGTCATCTTGTGTAGATTACATTCTACACCCCTGTAAAGCCAGTCAAGGTCACATTTAACAAAGCATCCTCAGCAACTAGTGCCTGAAGTGTGCAGCCGTTTACAGACCACTCAATATGAGGGCATTATTATAACCAGCCTCTTTTGCCCACAACCCTGCATTTTCAGATAAGACAGGATAATTGTTTTGTTTTGAGAAAACCGAAGCTTGAATCTCTTAAAAAGACCTGCAATTTACTGCACAGTGATCCAGAGGTAATAAAGGAATCAGGTTAATGGCTGCCTGCACCAAAATCCTCTCAATCATTTTGCAGTAAATAATTATGGAAAGTGACATGACAAGTAGCCATGTGTGTATCACAGCTACAGTCATTTATACCACCTACATGCCTCCAACAGTTACATAGGGTGTCTGGGTTTTTGGTTTGGTTTTCACTTAAGATTTTTGGTGCCATATAGATTTATATTTTGATTTGTGCAGCATATGCACTGAAAAACTTGCTGACTAGAACTGCTGTTCCACTTGCTAAAATGATGGGTAAGGACAATAGAAACCAGAAAGGAGTAATAAGATCTCTTCACAGATTTTTACTCTTGATTCTGTTCCTAAAAGTTGAATTCTCATCTCTGTAGCAATGGTAGTTTGAGAAACAAACCTTCCACCAATTATTTTAAAAGGAGTTTTAGTTCCCTGCTTTTCAGGAATATACTATTTTGATTATCTGGGATGTTTGCCAGATTAAAACACAACTTCTAAATAGTTCATAATAGCAGTTGAATAACAAAACAAAAAAGTTGGTTGTTTCCCATAGTTTATACAATGCCATTATTTGAGTGAAACCAACAAAGACCATTTCTCTCAATAAGCTAATATTTATGAATGAATCTCTATACTTTGCTGATTTCTATTGCCCCTAGTCACTGGAATAAGGATCAGTGAAATGCTACAATTAATCCACATCCTTCTGCAATCTTCCTACAGTGGGAAGAGAGGCCATGAACCACCCCCTGCAGGAGAAATAAACCTTAGAGATTGGTTAAGACTTAAAAACCCACCACTATGACATTTATCACTTAATCTTACATAGGCAGGTCAAAATTTTAATATAAATTACTTTTGCCAACACATAGCTTATGCATTCTTTGCTCCTTTTTTTGGAGGATTCTCAAATTGATATCTAAAGATTTACATATGATATATTACTGTTATATGGTCTAATGACTAAGAAAATTTCTCTGGTAACCAAAGCTGATGCCATATATGGTAGTGTTCTTGGCATATACTCTATATGCCTCAGACCACTTCCACATTCTTTCTATTCAGCTAATTATAGCTTAGTAGCCACTGGTGAAGGATTGTGAAGACCCTGTCATTTCTACAGAATAGAAAGGCAAGGCTAGTTACTGCAATTCAGCCAAACAAAAAGAAAAGAAAAAATAAACCAACCCCTTGAAAAGGAGAGGTACTGCACCTTTGCAAAATTGAACTGGCTCACTGCAGCTGAGCAACAGAACCACCACTGAAGCAAGAAAACAAGTTGGTCTATACAGGAATTGTACATGGTTTGAAAAGGAAAAAGTTACAGCAATCAACTAATAGCTGCAACCTTAATTTTCATTGCTGCCTCAGAGTTGAAACTTAAGTTTCTGCAAACTTAATGCTAGCTTCTTAGCTCCTTTACTAAAACTAGGAATTTGTTCTCCGAAGCAAAGAAATGAACACTCAAAACACATAGGTAAATACAGCAGGACATTATTGAAAACAGCTGCCTTGTAGTACAAAATACAGTACAAGTATACGGATGTCATTAAAACATCAAAAATACTATTGCTCCCATACAATTTAGGAAACATTCTTTGCAACGGAGAAAAATTTAAAAGAAAAGCTTTAAAAAAATCTGTTTAAAAATTCTACTGTGGATGATGAGAGTAGAGAAATAGTCTGAAAAGGGCACCAATGTTTGTGGCTCTTCCACTTTTTTTTTTTTTTAAATCTAAGATCAACAATATTCTGAATCATAGTCTATGTTTTAAAAAAGCCTAATTTTATATACACAATTATTTCCCTCCCTCTCAGCCACAAATACATGAAACGACCTTTTTGTATATTACTTATTTCCCAATAAATACAAAAAGATTGTATAGATTGAATAATACCAAAATAAGATAATAAAAAGGATATGCAATAAATTAAAAAGGCAGCTCAAATAAAGGGCAGGCATGCAGTTAAAAAAAATACTAAGATTGTGGAGGTGGGGTTACTTGCCTCCTGGTTGAGAAGGTGTCACACAAAGAATACCTGAAAACTTTGGAAAGAACATTAGCTCCCATTCAATTCAAAGTTACCTAGGTCTATGACACTTTTAGGAATACCTTTTGATGGGGTTGGGATTAACTTGATTAGTAAAAATCATTTCTACTGAAAATCCTTTTAAAATATAGAAGAGGCGATCCTTGAAAACCCCAACTTTTATTCTTGAAAGACAGCTGGATAAACTGGCAAAAGCCAGTTTGTTGAAATTTCAAGATGGTATAAAAATGCTTCCAGGATAAAGTCAGCTTATTCACGTTCACTTCAGTTCCATTCACAGATGAATTTCAGCTTCCACCGGGAGCACTGCTTGAATCATTCATCCATCATTTGCCAACTTTGATTGTGAGGTACTGATACAATGGATCAAGTTCTTAAAATTTTATTTTAAAATAAATGATGCTGGAATTCTGGACCTGAGGATCTTTAGTATCGAACAAATCCACAGATTAAACTGAAGGTAAATTAAGACTTCAGTTTTGGTTATTTCCAACTTTTCTGTGAGGATGTATATTCCATTAAAGCTCAGGCTTGTAGCCACACTGTTCCTTTAACAGGTATTTGTCAAGTTTTACGGTTTAAAATGCAGCCAACCAGTAGCTGTAACAGCCGAATTAGCCATAATTCACTGGCTCATATGGGAGCCATAGGGATCTGGCTCTCATTCATACCTAAGCCATTTCTTGATAATGACCTCCATATTTAGAGATCAAGGGAAGAACTTTAGTGAGCAGCAACCAGTCCACTCAAACAGTTTGCCTTGTGCTTTATGCCTGACTTCTTGTGCCTACCTCAGCAATCCCCAATGTAAAATTTTTATTTTTAAAAAATTTGCAAACTTTTAAACTATTTTAGTAATGGATTCTAGTTCAAGCGTTGATATCAGAATTTATCTGCATCCCGGAAAACAATTCTGCAAAGAAAAGACATGGGCCTTGGTCCAGGTTCCATGCAAAACCATTTTTTAAAAAATGGATCCAATTTGTTTCTATATTCTCCAATGGCTTCTTTAATTCTTTTGCCCTGTCCATGATTATGTGAAGTTGCATTCCTTTTCATAAACCTGTACCCTCAGAACTGGGTAAATGCAAAGGCCTTTCTTCTCAAGGATTCCATGAAGATCTAGATCCAATACGCTGATTTCAATGGATGTGAAGGGATAGACACTGCAATAGTGAGGCCTGGAGAGATCTTTAGATTACCCAGGTACAACACAAACTTAACTGTTATCAATGGGTGGGTCTGGGTGACTCAGACGTGTTTTGGGCCCAGACGTTTGAAGATCTATCCCTTCCAGGGTTATCCAGATGGGTTTAGGAACCTCGGTTGGGAAACAACAGAAGCTGAGACTTTCGCGCGGGTGAGGAGACGCTGTTGTCCTCTCTTTGCAGGTTGCTGTCAGTTCCTTGGAACTTTACTGCTTTTCTCTAATTGTCCGTGACTGTTCTTTTACGGTTATTTCTCTTAACTATATTATTTTTTATTTTGCTTTCTCCCTTTGCAGCCTCCCTTGTTCCCTTCCGCACTAACTCACTGGAGGTGAGCAGAAAAGGGAACTTTCTAACCAAGGGGATGGTGGTGGGGTAGGGGAGGCCAGTAGGGGAAGCTGCCCATTTCAATCCTCATCCACCTCCTCACCCTCGGACTCGTCGCCGCCGCCGCTGCCACCACCACGGCGCTCATAAAGCTTATCCCTCTGACGCTCCTGGATTTCTTTCATCTCATCCGCATACCGGCAAAAGGCGCCTCCGAACTTGCCCCAGGCCTTGAAGGGCACGGTGATGGCGTTGCGGTAAGACGGCTTCACCTCGCTCACACGCAGAAACACCCCGTACTTGTTGCAGCCCACGTCGAAGAAGAAGCGCTTGGAGTCCACCGTGATGGAGGTGCCCTCCGGGAGCTCCCCGTATAGGCCGCCCCCGGGGCCGCCGACGCCGCCCCCCGGACCTCCGGTCAGCTCGTCCTCC